CCATCAACTACATGTGTGCCTATGCCAAAAAAAAAAAAAGAAGAAACGAAAAAGGGAGAAGTAATTGCAGCCTAACTGTAACCCATGGGGTGGGACATGTATTCTCACTTTCTCTTTTTCTCTCTCTCTGTCTCTCTCTTATCTTTACCCTATTGACACACCCTCTAGAAAAAGTAAGAACATGGTAACACATGACCTGGTTTACTTTCATAAAGATGCCTCTGGCTTCTGGGTAAGATGGACAACATGCAGGCAAGAGTCAAAAGAGAAAGACAGGTCAAAAGGCTGTTGCACTACTACAGGCTAGAAGTGAAAGTGACTTGACCAGGGAGGTAGCAGTGTTGACAGAGAAAAACTGACAGGTTCAGAGTCGATTTTAAAGGCATAACAAATAGAACTTGATGAGATGGCTGTGTGGGAAGGAGCTAAGGATAATGCCTTAACTTGGAACCCAGAGGTTCAACAGGTAATAATTTACCCAGTTTGGGAAAACTGGAAGAGGAACATGTTTAGGAAACAGGAATCAAGAGTTCTGTCTTAGATGTGATTTAGGAAAGCAGATGGATATAAATTTTCTTTTATTAAAAGTGGGTCAGTTTTAGAAAGAAAGGCTTTCGGCTACAGAAATGAGGGCTCATCTGGGTCCAAGGTGATGGAGGCAGAGGAAGAAGGAACTGGTTCAAGATGGCAGAGAAAGATCTGGTTTAGGGTGAATCAGCACTACTTTTAAGGATGAGCCCTGATTCATCCATTTGGCCACCCAGCTGTGTCCTCACTCTTTTGAGTCAGAAAATTGGGAAAGGGGCAGTGTCTCAAGGTATCTCCTGTAGTACAGGAGATAATCCAAGTGTTTTCATGGGGTTGAGCAAGACCAGGAAGATGTCAAGTGGGGAAGGAGCTCATGTGCAGAATAGCCTGGTTTCTCACGTGGCAAATCTTCTCTCTTTAGGAACTAGAGTTCTGCTATCGGAGCCCTGGAGAATCCCAGCTCTTCTCTGAGTTCTATGTTGACCAGCTGGGATCAGGGATCAGGCTGAAAATGAGAGACAAAAAAGACGGGACTATGGTTTGGAAGGGCTTGGTGAAACCAGGTAAAACCAAGACAAGTCCAGAGAGCCCAGAGGTGGGAGAAAGTCAGTGTGTGTGTGTGTGTGTGTGTGTGTGTGTGTGTGTATGTGTGTGTGTGTGTGTGTTGGTGGTGGGAGGAGGAGTGTTGGAGGAGGAGAGCAATAAATAAATCACAATGTATTGATACTGGTAAAAATTGCCCAGTGAAGTTACATACCTTTTACAAGTTACATAACAGTAGGGATGACCAGAAATTAAACTTAAGCCAATCTGACACTAAACTCCATTGCTCTCTCATGTACACTATGGTATTTCCACGTGGTCCTTGAATTAATAGATTTTTTAAATCCACGAGGCTTTAGGCAAAGCTTCTCTTGATAGCTTGGATATGAGATGAAAGCATAAGAACAGAATATAGATTGTACAGAAAAATCCAATTTTTGCAACATTAGATACTGGCCCCTGGATCATTCAAGGTAGACAAGAGAGAATCAAATAATGATCTTTTATAAATAAAGAAACCTTACAATCTTAATCTAGCACCAACACTCCCCAAAACCAAAATTCCCTCAATAGTCCCTCTAGGGATGACTAGCCTTTATCAGCTGTTGAGAAGTAGTTATGCTACCTCCTGTGTTGCTACAAACAGGCTTCACATTGTGCTGTAAAGAGGATGAGTTGTACTCAGTTGTGGCTTGGATTAGAGTGGAGAACTAAGCGGCATCAGATCTGAGATCCCAATCTGGCACAGACTTGCTGAGTGATCTTGGGAAAATTATCTAACTCCTTTGAGTCTTGGGTATTTAATTGTAAAATAAAGATCATAAAGACTAACTGGTAGGAAGATTTGGATGTTTAAATGAGCCTGTACATGCCTCATACAGTGCTCCTTAGCAAATAGTAGCAATATTATTGTTTTTCCTCATGTGAAACCAACCTCTTCCTCTTATCAGTCTTAATTCTGTTCCTTGGAACTCACAAGAGGCTATCTCCTTTCCCATGGAAAAGTCTTTCAGATACCTGAAGACCGTGATGTTGGCCTTCCTTATGCAAATTCCATCTCCAGTTCATTCAATCATCCTTCTTATATTTTGTATTTTAAGTTATTTTCAATCCAGTTGCCTTCCTCAGTCGATACTCTAGCTTGTGAATGAGTCATGATTGACTCCAAGACTTTCTGGTCAGCACAGAGAATGTGGGACACCTTTCTCCTCCCTTCCAAATGGACCCAGTACTCTCAGGGCCCAACCTAAACTCTCCTTTCCTTGTACCCATCTCCCTGCACTATTGGGTCACACTGAACTTGAAGTCTGCTCACTCTCAGATCTTGATCACACAAGCTTCTGGGAGCTCCTGCTTCCTTTCCTTACACAAGTAAGTATTGAAGTCTATTATTTTGTTCATTTTTTAATTAAAATTCACTCATTATCCCCATGTGCTACATTTTTCTTGAACTTGATTCTTTATTTTTGCTATAAGCACATGCACTTGCCAGAGACACAGAGGAAAAGAAAGTGAGATAACACCCCCACCCAGAAGGGATGGCCACACTGCAATCCACACTCTTCCATTCTCCTCTCAGTTTTTGAACATGCCCACACATTTGCTCAGCATGTTTTTTAAGCCACAGGGTCCAAGACTCAAGCCATGTAGTCAGTCATGAGGAAACCAGCTGCTTTAACCACCATGCTACCTCCTGGCCCTTGACAATAAATCTTGATTCTGCAGGGCCAGCAGGTGGTGTGTTGCTGTGTTGCTGGACTCCCACTGACTGCAGTTCAAGTCCTGGACCTGGCAGCTTGCTTTCTCACATTCCTTCTCTCTCTTTCTCTGTCTCTCTATGATCAAACTCCAAAATAATAATGATAATAAAAATAAATAAAATTAAACAAAAATAATTCTTTAAAAAAAATCTTGATTCCGACATCCAAAACCCAAACTCATATTGATCAGTGTGAGTTAAGAAGGCCAAAGAAGGACAAGGAAGTCTATTTCTGCCCAGAATGCTAGGCAGGAAAAGACTTGATTAGTTCTCCATCAGAGATTCAGTTTAGACTAACACTGAATAAAACCAATAAATAAATAAAACTGATCCCACATTGTGGTGGGAGAAACTGCTATTGCTCATTCTTAAGCCTTTTCCTCCTTTATTAGGCTGTAATCGTAGGCTCTGGGTATGTTTTCCATATGCATAAGGGATTCACCTAGATAATCTCTAAGGGCGCTTCCAGCCTTTACCCCAAATTCTATTAGAATTTGTCTAGACTCTTTCTCAGAATCAAAAAATCTTCGAAGTGAATGAGAGTTCAAGGTGTATGGTGTATGTTAATAACTAGCACCATTACAGATGCTTCCTCCTCTCTGCTTTCTTCTAGGAGATCTCAGACCTACAGCTACTCTCATCCCACCAACTTCAATAGGTCAGTAACATCTGTTAGAGACCATGGGAGCCAGTGGCATTTGTGAGGTGTACTGTCTAGTACTTGGGAGAAGGGAAGAGAGAAAGGAAGGGACTCTATCATTGAAACCTCACAAGGGCTCAAGCCTTGGGAACCCCAGTCTCCCTTGCTCCTACAAATGGAGGTGCTAGCATCTACCACTGGGCAGCCCCAAATGTTCCAATCATAAACTACACCTTCACTCATTGCTCAGGCAGAATACTGGGTTAGATGCAAATATGAGGGAGGAGAGATGCCTTACTAGTGATCAAATCTCTTTTGAGAAAGAGAAGGAAGCAAAGGTGCAGATGAGTGAGCAAAGACAGTTAGAGGTGGGGTTGGAGGTAGAGGCTGTGGTGGGAGCCCTTCTTTTTCCATTGCCAGTCTCACCTTCAACCCGAGACATCCCAGACTTGCTGCACTTCGTGGACCAGTATCGGGAGGAGTTGATAGCCCGAGTGACATCAGTGGACCCTGTCTTGGACAAGTTGTATGGACAGGTCCTGAGTGAGGAGCAGTACGAGAGAGTACGAGCTGAGGCCACCATGCCAGACAAAATGCGGAAGCTGTTCAGCTTCAGCCAGTCCTGGAACCAAGCCTGCAAAGATCAACTTTACCAAGCCCTGAAGGAGACCCATCCTCACCTAATTGTGGAACTCTGGGAGAAGAAGGATGGAAAACGGGGCACTCTGGATAGGCTTAGCAGCTGAAGTCTGAAAACTTGCCCTTGTCAAAGACTTCTTAAATAAGACTCCCAAAGCACAGGTAATAATCCCTAAAATAGACAGGTGCGACTATATCAGACTAAGAAGTTTCTGCACAGCAAAGGACACAGCAACAAGCGTGAATTGACAACCCTCAGAATGGGAGACTATTTTTGTAAACTATGCCTCAGACAAGGGACTGATAACCAGACTGCACAGGGAACCCTAGCAGCTTACTCAAAAATAAAATGATTAACCAAATTAAAAGATGGGAAAATGAACAAAAATCTAAGGTAAGGAAGACATCAGATAAAAAGTATATGAGGAAATGCTCAACATCCCTCATCATAAGAGAGATAAGACCACAATGAGACACCGGTCAGAATTGGAAAGATTAAAAATATAAAAAGTGATAAGTGCTGGCAGGGACATGGTGAAAGGAAACTCTCCTACACTGTTGGTGGGAATATAAACTGGTTCAGTCACTGTGGAGAACAATATGGAGGTTCCTCAAAGATCTACAAATAGAACTACCATGTGATCCAGCAGTCCCACTTCTGGGTATTTACCCAAAGGACAGGAGAATGCCCAGTTGGAAAAGTGCTTGCACTTTTATTTATTGCAGCATTATTCTTGATTGCTAAGACATGGAACCAACCCAAATATCCACAAACTGATGAATGGATTAAAAAAGTGTGGCACACTTACTCTATGGAATACTATTCAGCCATAAAAAAAAAAAAACAAGACACTGCCATTTGATAGAAAGTGGTCAGATATGGAGGATCTATTGCTGAGTGAAGCAAGCCAGGAAAGGAAAGAAAGATATTGTATGTATCCACTTAAGGTATACCAACTATCAGTCACGAGCGTTTATGCTGCCGATGTGTCTGTGTTGGACAAAACAGTCTATAATCTACAGCAAAGTACATTCCGTTCATGGGGCACACCCAGGGGAATAAGAATAAAATGCTATTATGACTAAGTTGTAAACCTATGCACATTGCTTGCATGTTGGGCAACTTTATAAAAAAAAATTAGAAACTGATTTTTATTCATAATAATCATGTAGTGAAATGTGTTTGTAATTTTGTCTTAATTTAATTTGTTGTAAGGTGGGAGTAGGAATTGCTGGTTTCACCATTTCAGATCTGTGTTGTATAAGAGTATTAACATTTTAATTAAGCAAAGAAATGAGAATTTTTTTATCTGCATGTAATTGTTTTAAAGCACCCATTTTAAGAGAAAATACTGTGCAATGAAGAAACCAGTTTAGACATTTGCTATAAACTGAATTATTCCAAAAGAATAATCTACAACAGCCCTGTGAATTCCTTTAAAATGATAACTAACAGGACAGTTTGACCAATTTTTTAAAATATATACTTCTTTTTATATGTTTAATTATATATATATATATACAAACACACACACACACACCAACTATCCACACTTTATGGTAGAAGTCAAAATATTGGAGGGCATAAAAGCAGTGAAAATAGTTAGAGATGCTGATGGCAGTGTGGAACGGGGTGGGAGAAGGGAACAGTATAGAAAAGGATAACAAGAGAATAAATAGAGAGGCATGACATTAGTGGGACACAGAAATGGTTAATTACCTGTTGACACTAACATGTATAGTATTCTCATCTGGACTGGTCTTAGAAGTATTTCATGTTGGGTAACTTCTTTTTACAAACAAAATGATATATAGTGATTGAATGTTGAAAAGCTATTTGATGATGATGATGTGGATAGTAATGTCTTTGACTTGACTGATATGCATGGTATTCCTTCTGGAAAAAGAAATCTAATACAGTGTAAGGATATATGTGATTCGTCCTTTCTTTGGGTCTTAATTTCTTCATCTATGAACAAGCAGCTTCTGGAGTTGACTCCCAATGCTAAAATTATGAAACTCTGATGATGCCTCCAACTCAGTTGTATGGCCATGCCCAGGGATGCCACTCAGGCACCTAGACTGCCTCCCTCAGCTTTTCTAAGCCAGTGTCCAGATGTGATGGTGGCATCTCATGAATGTCTTTCTAGAGCTGGTGAGATTCCTGCAGCCCTTTAGAGCCTGGTCTGGTGGCCACAGCAGCCAAGCCTGGAGCCCTTCCTGTCCCATTCAGATGCAAGGAGGGGCTGGGGGAACATGAGACTGTTCACCTCTGGCAGGAGACATACAAGGGAAGTAAACACATGTCCTTGGAGTTTTGAATAGATTGTGGGCGGTGAAATACTTACCTTTTTCAGATTTTTTTCTTCCAAAATTTATTCATTAATTTCTTCCATGAAAGATAAAGAGAGAGACATGAAGGCACCTCCAATAAAGTCCTCATTCCATGATCCAATCACAGCCCCAGACAGCATGGATGATGAGCACTTGCCTGGTGTATACATGGAGGCCTTAGGAAGTCAACCAAGGACATTCTCATGTGAATCCAGCATTACAGAGAGTTGCATTACTGCTGTGCTACCAGCTGGCCTATTTTTCAGTTGTTCTGTCTAACCAAATTCATGACTAGAGTCATCCCAAAAGCTGCAGTATGAGCATTCCCTGCAAAGGGTTACCCAAAATATTCCTAGATGGGGCCAACTGGAATTCCAAAGAAAGAAGCACTAAACCATAGGGTGGTTAGTCCAAAGTATTTATTAGAGGAACTTACAGATGGAAAGCTGCAGTCTCTTCAAGGCAGAAAGAAGTGTTATCCAGGTTATGTCTGTAACAAGCAGGCGGGTTATGGGGTTTATACCAGGATTCGAGCAATCCAGGATAGTTTCTACCTGTTTAGCAACAAGTTTGATCTTTCAGCATTTGAGCAATGATATCTATTGATTTCTTAGGCTTCATTGTATAAGCCCATCACATATTTGCTGTAGGAATAGATGTAGACACACAAGTTTACTTCACCTCCACAACAATAATCATTACTATTCCTACCAGTGTAAAACTCTTCAGCTGACTGGCAACTCTACATGGGGGTAGTATTAAGTGATCATGTTCAAGGCCATGGGCTGGGTTCCAGCTTACTGAGAAAAACATGCAGCTGGCTGGGTCACAAAATAATCAAGACCCTCTATGCTTCTTGGCCAGAGTAAAAGCAAATGTGGGGTGTATCTCAGGACCTTTCAGTTTTCCACATTGGGCTTGGCTTCTCCATTGGTTCCAATGTGTGCTTGTTGTTTGTGAAGTGTAGATGGATCTTCAGAAAGCAGGAGAGGGGCAGACAAGGAGGCTGAAGGAGTGAAGTCTGGCTGAGGCTGAGATGGATTATGGTATCAAGACCCTACTGTTACTTTCACTCATAAAAGAAAGAAATAAACTTTTTTCTCAAATAATTATTCATTTAAAAAGAAAGAAATAAACTTTTTTCGCAAATAATTATTCATTTAATTTTATTTATTTATTTTTATTTGCTATAGGGCATGCACACTCACCAGAGAGAGACAGAGAGAAAAAGAAAGTGAGAAAGCAAGCCATCAGGTCCAAGTCTCAAACCAAGGAGTCTAACACCCTAACCACACCATCTTCTGACCCCAATAATAATTTTTTTTTAATTAAAAAAAGGAAGGAAGGAAGGAAGAGAGAAAGAGGAAAGAAAGAAAGAAAGAAGAAAGAAAGAAAGAAAGAAAGAAAGAAGGAAAGAAAGAAAGAAAGAAAGAAAGAAAGAAAGAAAGAAGAAACAAACAAAAAATGGATCGGTCATTTCAAATGTTATTTTTCTGTAAGGTAGGGATAAGGAAGCCAAAATAATTAGGGGAAAAAAAGGTTAAGTCAGATTACTTCCAGTTGCCTCTTTGGTGTAAGGATTAAAATAGAGGAAACTTCATTATCATGCTGATTAAAACTCCAAAGAGAATTTTAAAGCATTAGTGCACAAATATCAAAAAAGCTGAACAGGGAAGGCCCACACATGTAGCATCAGTCCTAGCAGATTCATAAGCATGTGCCAGCGGTGCTCTGGGAGGTCTGATTTTTATTTTTTATTTTTTTTTTTTTTTTTTGCCCAGGCCACATTGCTACCATTTCTGACGGCAACATTGCTAACATATCTGACTGACTGTTGGGATCATTCCTGGAAATGAGAATGTTCATGCACTTTTGTATAACTAGCTCTTGAAAATGTCCTCTTATGGAAGTAGAGTCTACCAGGTCATTTTAAATGTACATAGAAAAATGGAGGCAGGGTTGCCAGAGAGGTTGAGGGGTGAGGATGAATGTGTTACCACCAGTTGAAGAGATGTGGCCAGGGTTGGGATTGGGACTGGGCTACAGTAGGCTCATGGGTGAAGCTGCATTTATGGAAGGCCTGTGGTGAGAGGGGGCCAGGCCAATAATGGCAGTGCGGCAAAGGCTGGGGTTTGAGTTGGGAGTGGCACGGCACGCGAGCTGCGAAGGGTTGAGGACTCTGAGGCCCGACACTCTAAAGGCAACCAGGGATTGGGACCACGGACAGAGCTAGAGACCCACCGAACGGTCCTGTCTCAGCCCGTCGCCCCTCCACTGACCTTCTCCCCAACTGCCAGCTACCACAGGGAGCAGGCAGCAGGGCGGGGGCCATTCCTGGCCACCATAGCCCCTCACCTCTGAGGCAAATTTGCAGCCTTTAAGTCAAATACCACAGGAAGCGGGGCCTGCGGCACGGGACGCCATCGCATTTGGACCCCGCACCCTGACCCACAGAACCAATCGCAGGACTGAAGGAGCCTATGCAGAACAGCCACTCCTGGAAGTCAGAGGACATCCAGTCCTGGAGTGGGGTTGAGTCTAGAAGGCCCTAAGTTTCAAAACGCCAGCTGGATGTGTTGGTCAGGCTGCCTCCTCCCTGAGACTTTCTTCTACTTTTTTTTTTTTTTTTTTAGTGGTTTTAACCTTGGGGACATACTGGGAGAGAGACAGACAGTGAGAGAGAAAGTGATAAATCACCCTCCAGAGGGGATGTCCATGCTTCATCCCTTCTCCTCCATTCTCCTCTCAAGATCCCACATACACCAGGCATGAT